GGCATTTTATTACACAATTTCTTTATTCATTTATTTACAGGACTACATTCGTTGCGAGCTATGCTACACGATGTATTATTATGTCCTTTATTCGAACACTGTATTTACCTTTCTTTGATTATTTATGTATATAATTTAACAGTGTTAACGACTACCTTGATTTATATATAAAATATATATATATGTATATATATAGGCCTATTTAGATAGTCGTATATGGTCACGAGTGATGCAAAATAACTAGCATTTCAATACATCTAGGCCTTCTCTCTGAACTTGGTCTCTTCTCATCGTAGCAAATATTGCCTAAATACGGTCGTACGGAAATAGAAAAAAAAGATTAAAGAATGTTGTCATTGGCCTGAACTCATAAATAAGTTGGTCAGAGTCCCGAACAAATTACTTATCTATCATAATCATTGGTTACATTGTTCCTAGACATACTTGTGAGATTAATGATACAGTATTGTGAAAACTGAAAAAAAGCCACCTGTAAATTTTACTGTCCCGTTTGTTTGAAATTCCAGAGCTGTTACTATCTTGTACCTGTTAAGCAGCTCATATTTTGCAATTAAGACCAAATATAAGTTACTGAACTGTATTTACTATACTAACTTGAGATGTGGGAATAGGAGACAAAGAAAAAATATTCGATTTCATGAAGTTTTACATTCACAATGATGTTTAGGCATAGAAAGATTTTTTTTTTATATAGACGTGACGTTTTTTTCCGGAACCTCGCTAAATCGTCGGTGATCTCTTTATTTAGGTAAGTAAAACCCGGCTGACCCAACGGTACTTGGTACTCCAAAGCTGGCAGACGTCTGTTGGTGGTGGTAGTGGGATCATCCGTGCCCTGTTCGCGTTCCGTTTTCCATGGAACCGCGTCCCGACGATCGTCAGCGGAGAGTGTCGTAGATGCGATATGTGTCAGCACATTCATCTTTGATTTCTTATTGCTGTTTTGCATGACTAGACAACAATCATGGGTATTATTATAAATATGTAATAATTAATATATTAAAAATAGACCTATCATCATCGCTCACAATTACCGTGCATAACTGAGACTGCCGAAGGCAATTACTGTATTTAAACTGATAAAACAATAGTATATATTTTTATTCTAAATACAAAAAGAAAAAAATGTGAACGTGACTAATAGCCAATGAAGGTAAAAAAAAGGACTACCATGGGCTAGATATTAATTGTATGGTCAGAAAAACAACCCAACTACTTTGCAAGCCAATGGGACCCACTGGGGTCACGCTTCATGACACAATCACATGAGGCAATCACATGAGGCAATCAACAACATTGACATAATTTTGTATAAGCTATACACTATGTTTTTTTCCTTTATATAGGTTTGGCTAATTTAATTTTTAATTGAAAATAAAATTGAAAGATCAAGTATGTAGGCTAGGTACATACAAGTGCGATAAAAATAGGGTACTCCAATATTGTACACTTTTGTACTATTGTACAACTTTACATTCACCTCGTTTGGGTAACCACCGCGGTGCACCGTCGCGTCGCTTCGCTTCTTAAAATAAAAATATA